TGAAAAGATAAACTCACAAGCTAAGCAGTAAAAGAAAAGAAACTTTATACATGTATATGTCAAAGTAAAGTACATAAAGGACGCACCTAAGTGGGAGAGTCACATTCGGAAACACCGAGAGAAAACGAGACCTTGTGAACTGTGCTTTAAGAAAAAGTAGAGTGATGTTGCCTTACACTATAATGAAAAATGTCAAGCTCCACCACAAGGTCCACCTTGAGATTACAGATGTCCATCTCATTTAACAGATTTACAGTCACCTATACTTAGGTATAAGGTCTGTTAAATCAGATGAACATTTAAGAGCCATTTCTGTTTCTTACTCACAGATTCCTCGATTAGGCAAGTGAGACACTTCACAGGGCTTTATGAGACAACCCAGACCACAGGCATCTCTGTGCCTTTCTAGGAGTCCACGGCCAGACCTAAGACAGAAAGGTTCAGTAACAGAATGCCAGTTTGTCTTTCAAAGTATGCTACTCTTCCATGTTTGTCAGATTCACAACATTTTGTAAGCATTATCTGATAAATGCATAAAGCATTCTGCTTTCAGTTTGGTTTTCTACTGCCAGAGAAAGCACAGAGAGGTCCCATAGTAACAATTTATATTTGAATTACAGCTTGCAGTGCTACAGACACATTACACAAATCATTTCATCTCACCTTTGCCAGAAATAGCAAAATAATACCATTTTCTAATGAAACTTCACATCAGCAGCAGTTGCTGTCAGATACCTTCTAATTTCTCAGCTCAGTCATTGTGTCCAGCTCAGGTGCTAAAAAGTAGTTTCCTTCTCAATTACCCATCATTGCTTACTCCTTATTTGTTGACTGTTTTTTTGTTTTGGTTGTTTTACCATTTTAACTACATAAGAGCCTTTATAAAAACCAGAAACTATTTCATTTATAAACACATCACAGTACCACAGCTTTGCTACAGCAATCAAAAAAAATTATCGTAGCTCTAAAAGGTGTTCAGATAAAGACAATCCACTAGGAAAGAAACTATTGGAGTACATTTCAATAATTTGTAAGTTTTTCTTGTAAGTTTGTTTTTATTTCTCAGTATTCTTTGAAAATTTTTGTTCCATTGAAACATAATGGGAGGCTTATTCTGGAAAAAAAACCCCACGGGATCAGAATTTGAGTATTAATTAGAATACAGTGTTGAGAAAAACAGTTTAAAGGATTGCAAGTTTATTGCCCCATTCAACTATTCCAGGAAAAAAGAGAAAAAAATAAAAAATAACGTAAGCAAATAGTTAACAAGATAAAGGCTAACATTTTCACAGTGATCTGCTCAAGGCTCCCACTGCCCAATTCTTTAAAACTATAGTAATACCTAGAGTTTTTCCAAATACCAATACTCATTTTCCATGTGAACTAGTCCCACCACCTGCTGTGTTCAACAAGCCTTAAACCAAGCCTTGGCACCAGAGGAATTTTTTTGGAAACAGACTGAACAGCTCATAGGACATTGGAACCAGCAGTGCCACACCACACATGCAAAAACCAAGCTGTAACCAAGAAATATGTCCAGCCAGGGAGAACACAAAAACCTAAGCGTGGATCACCACACAGTCAACTGAGCATAGCAGAGATGAGGTTTCTCTTGTGCTCCCAGGTGTTCTGGAAATAAAAATATGAATGCTTAATGCCACTGTGGAAGCCAGGTATGTACTGCTGTCTGCAAATGACAGAGTTCTGCAAATAAAAGAGCTGCATTACTTACATGCATCTTTAAAATTTTTTTCAGATAAATGACTAAAATCCTCTAAATGTTTTAGCTAGAGAGTTTGTAACTTCAAATTATGTAGAACTCGGTGGCTCATATTGCTTGATGGCATGTGCCCTCAGGGAGGACACTGCCATATGGTATCCTGGACAGGGAGTCAGATGTTTGCAAGAGGAGCCTCCTTCTTCCAAGAGCCAGGCCGAAAGCTCCTGATAATAAAACATGCATCAAGCTGAGCAACCAAAAGTGATGAAGTTTACAAACAGAATAATGTTTTGTTAAACAGCTTTTAGTGGAAAAGTGTAAGAAGAGATATTTCACATTAATTCTGCCATCTTTATATTAAATGAAATCACACTTGACACTTTTTTCAAGGAACAGAGTTGTACCTGCATCACGTCAGAAGCATGCACCTTAACAAAAATATTGTGTAATGAGGCTGGACTATGACATTTTGCAGACTTTGTACCTGGAGTGCAGACAACATCTGTTCCTTTATGTAAATAGAAATACTTCTTCCTTGCTCTCACCCCCAATTTACCAGCCCTACAAATTATCCTGAGGCTGGAAGTTCAGGCTCAGTGTTTCCTTTACAGCTTGTCCATCACCACCAATATTATAGGCCAAGTCATTCACTCGACTGTACCTGTTCAGCCTGACCAAACCTGAAGCACAAATTCACTGATTTCTGGAAGAATAAGTCTGTATAACATTAAAAAATCAAACATCCAAACCTTTATGATCAGATCTTTCAATTTATTTAATTTGGTGGCATTTATTTAATTTTGATGGCATCTCTTATTGCAGGGCAGGAATATATTTTAAAGGGTTATTCAATGTTTGCAAGAACAATGAATTCTAAACTCAATATTTAATATTTGCCCATCCTTTAAGTATAGGAACAAGAAGGTAAGATTAACTTTGATCTGTTTCCGTTCTCTGATGGTAGATTTGAGGGTGCCCAACTGAAAATTTAATGTGAGCACTCCAGGCAAATAGGTTTAAAAATATTAATGTTTTTCAGTTTGTAGGGAGGAAGTAAATCATATTGTCATGAGATCCCTTAATTTATCTGTATAGCAAAATTGTAAATGCAGCAGAAAACAGCTTACTGCAATGTAAATAGAGCTTTGCATGCAGTGCTAACAGGGCAAGTTTATTTAACATAATATATTACACAAAGTCATCATTGCTACCTTTCAGTTTATACTTCTATGGTAACAAACTTAAAATAAACAGAACCCTTGTGTTAAAATCCAATGCAAAGGAGCAAAGTAGTAACACTGATCCTTTTCAAGCCTCAAGACCATTTAGCTCTTCATTTCTTAGTTTTAGCTACGAGAACTAGATTCAGTTATTAAAAGTAATAGTTTACCTATACTAATAAGTCTAATTACTTAAAAAATTAGAACTCCAAAGTTTCAATTTAATTCTTTATCTTGAACACTGAGGAGCTGTAAATTTAGTTAAGTTCAACCAACTTTATAGGATGTGGTAACAGAAAAATAGTTTTATTTATATTCAAAACCTAGAAAACAATAATGCTGAATGTATGTTCAGGTAGTCTACAGTAAAATTTTATTAACTCTGACAGTTAAGTTTGATTGACACTGTTTTATTCTACATGTTAGAAAAATACCTGAAAACCTTATGTTAAATTTTTGGAGACTGACAGCACTCAGTAGCAAGTAAATTAGGTTTTTTATTTAAAGCCCATGTAGAGTATCAGCACTCGAAGCAGCAAGGTACCCAGGCATTTGAACTCCAAAAATTGTGGATGTTTTACCATTTTCTGGTTCAGGTCCTCATTTCTAAAACTGGAACAATAGAAGAGTCACTGAAGAAACCTTACAGCCTACAGCAGCTTCATTTGTGATAACTTAAAAAAAGAAAAGAAAACTAGCTAAATTCTCAGGTAAGAGCCGCAAGAGAATTGATAGTGCAACCTGATTTCAATTGCCTTCAAGAATTCAGGATAGTGGAGCAGCTGGCATGCTGAAATCCTGAATTCTGGCATCTAGGCCTCCAGAATTAGCAGACACTGGTGCCCAGGTTCTCCATACACAACTGAAGGAAAAGGTATTTCTTCCTTCCGTCAAAACAAGAGGCATATTAACTCTATGGAAAAAAGTATGCAAAAAAAAAAAAAAAAAAAAAAAAAAAAGAAACAGCAAAAAGAAAATAGAGGAAAAAGGAGGGGGAGCAAGAAAAAGCATATGGCCAATGGGATTATAATGTGAGAAGGTAAAAAAAGCTATCCAGCTGTTTTCCATTCAAGTACATAGGACTCTTCTTGAGATTTATTATTCAGACACACCAGACTTCAGCTGTTAAACGAAAGAGCTGCAGAGCCCATTTGAAGTTCACCCTGCTGCCTGTAAAGGTGAAGTCATGCCACACAACCTCTGCTCCGACATGGAGAGAGAGCCACCAGACACACAATGACTTGAAGACACAGAGCAATGGCAGGGCTGAATACTATGCAGTACAAAGATAATTCACAACCATTGAGTTGTTTTTCTTTTCCGCTTCTTCTGGAAGCGCTTGCAGCTCAGAGCATTTTCTCCTGCACACCTCAGAGAAAAGCCCACCAGGACCAGGCCCCCTTCAGAGCACCAAGACGTCAGCAAAGAAGCAAGCAGCGCTGTTTTGTGGCTCCAAGCCATCCCAGCAGGAAAGGCAGCTGCTGCATACACACTGCCTGGGGCTGGGAAGGCTGAGCCATGGGGCAGGGCTGGAACTGGGCATCCAAGGCGTCAAGCGGCTGCCCTGCCATCTGCTGCTGGGTGTCACGGCAGGAGAGGAACCACTCACCAGCTGCCATGGCCAGCCTGCTGAGCAAACACACCCTGGGTGAGGCTGCCGATGAACACAGCCCTGTTCTGTGCACACAGGCACACCACCCAGCCAGCTCCCAACAAAGGGCACGGGGCAGCCTTACGGACAGGCTCAGCCAAAAACAAGTTTTTTTCAGGAACCAGAGTGACTGCTACAGTCCAACAAAGTGAATAAAACGCCCAAGCCCTTCAACTTTAGGTGCTATTTCCCAGTTTCTAGCCCTCGAGAGCAAGAACAACCAAAACAGTGCCAGACAGAGACTCACATGTTGGTGTTTCCCTGCCTCCCACACTTCCCGCTGGGTTTGATGGAGCTTTCCCAAGGCCTTTCCCCCCCTCACCAAGTTGGGTTCCTTTTACTCTGGATGCACCTGAAGGCAGTTTCAGGAGATTATGACACCAGTGACAGCAGCCTGGGGTGGGTGGGGTTGTCCAAACAGTGAAGAGTAACTCCAGCACTCTTTGGTTATAGGAGACAGAGTCAACTAATGAGAGCCACGGCAATGTTTGACTGGTAAAGATCACGTTTGTAGTAGAGGTGGGCAAAAGGAGAAAGGGACCATCTGCCTCCTGTGTTTCACCTTGCCCCAGACTCTCCCCACTGCCCAGACATCCTGCAGCAGTTTGCAAGCATGGCTTGCAAGGACTAGACAGGTAACTCCAAGCAAGAATAGTGCCCCAGCCTTCTCCTGCTGGGGGTTTTCAGGAGTAAACAGAATCTTCCCCCTCCAACATTTACATCTTTTCCCAATCCATGGTTTAAATGCACAACAACATAATTTCCAAATATTATGTCACATTATCTTGTTTATATTTATCTTATGTTTTTAAGCAAATTAATTTTATTCTCAGAAAAATATAACCACCTTGAAAGCAGCATGCAACTTCTTTTGTGTAGGAGGAACCTATGGTTTGCACATGCCTGGATACTGCATGCAGACCATTCTTTAAAGTCAGACCAGTTTGGTTTGGAATTCTCCATTAATATTTTTTTCCCCCACAAGGTATTTCTTCAAAGAACTTCAAAATTTTAGTCGATGATCAGATAAAAATAGCAAATTGTTAGTAACCTCTTTCTCATAAACAGGAAACAAATACACTTCCCCTAATTTTATAGTGTATTTATGGAAAGTGCTGAAATAACAACTTAAAGATAGTTTTACCACCAATCCTGTATCCTGTCTCTCTGTTGTACAGTATGTACAGGACAGATTGCTTTTTTTTTTCTTGGGGAAGCAATCTGGGACACAAATGATCCCTATATTTCCCAATACAGCTCTCTCCCTCCCTTTGAAGGCATGCACACTGGACAGTGGAATCAGTGTGGGAGAAAAACAAAGGAAAAGTTTTCTTCAGTCATGAATATGAGCCTTGGAGTTATAGAAAAATGGCTAGACCCTATTGAGCTTAAGAGTAAAAAGAATTACATTAAGACTCTCAATTCTTCTGGGCCACTTTGAAACAGAAAAGTTCACTGGCTGCTACAGAGAGGAAAATGTAAATCAGGCACTGTGGTACAACTTCAGCTTGCAGTGCCCAGGCCAATCAATGCCAGTGCTTGCCTTTACTCCAGAAAAGATTTGTGAAGAACAACCAGGCTGCTTTCCCCACATCCTTCAGTGCAGGTAAACACCACTCATTTATCACAGGACAGTAAGGAATTGTCACAGAAATCCTTTGCTTTAAGCTTCTCAAAAGCCACAGAAGTACAGCCAAGACCAGAGGTGACCATTACACAGAGCAGAAGTCACTGGCATCATAAGGCAGAAAAAGCCCCTCAGAGCTTTGTTCTCATGTGCTGACCCAGCTCCACCACAGCCCACTAAACACTGCTCAACAACACTCATTAGGAATCATCTGGGGAGTTTCAGTAAACTGATTTAAAGTGCTTATGTCACAGCATGCTTCACAGTATCTCAATGCACGTTTGCATTTCTGTATCCTTAAAAATGAATATTCCACTCTTATTGTTAGCACACAGGCATGAAAAACAGAAAAAAAAAAAAAATCATAAAGGTCTAGTATTTGAATCTTTGGCAAAAATAGTCAAACTTGCAAGAGACACTGTGACTAAAAGCTAATCACAGATACAGACCAACACGCTGACATAGAATAAATGAGATCCTGAGCTTGTCAGTGTTGAAAAACATTCCCTACTACACAGTCACCATGTTTGTATAAAAAGATGTTTTCCTTAGGAGGCAAGGCAAGGAGCCCTGGATACTTCTCAGGAAGACAAGTTGCCTACTTGCTCATACCCATACAAATCCCTTTGGACTGTGCTGTGTCTTCCAGGTTTTTAGAGGAATAACAAAGCTGTAGTACTTTTGTCCTATTTCCAAAAGTTTCAGCAAGAAAAAAGAAGCACATAAATTTCGATCCTGCATTAAAATTACGGTCCCAAGTAAGCAAGCTGCTCCGCAATAGAAGCTCTAACAACACCTTTCAGAAAAGAAAACTACTGAAAAGATTTCTCAAAAATAAAAAAGCCAATTAATTTTGAGTATTTTTTCCCTTTTTTTTCTTTTCTTCTTTTTTCTCATGCTTAACTGCCAGTTGTTTTCATCCATTTATCACAAAATTATTTTGGGGATAGGACCCAGTATCTGGACATGGACCTAAACTATCAGGTGTCTGCCAAGGTCCTCAGAACATTTTACAGATGCTGTGGTAAATCATTTTTTGACACGCAGTTTAAAACCAAGGTACACTAACCTAAAAAAAGTCACAAAAAAGTAGGACAGAAGTTGGACATTTACTTTCATAGAAAAAATGCTTCTTGTTAAAAAACCCTCCTGAACCAAGAGGAATTTTTGATGCTTCACTACCACATTAAAGTCTTAAATTTCCCATAAACATATTTGTGCTAAATACTCAGGATAATGGACAACTGAAACACAAAACTACAAAGTTATCATTCCTGCAAAGGCTGCAATAGATCCATAGCCTTGCTTCTCATCAACACTCCGAGAACACACGGAGAAAGCAGAATATTGAGCACATCCTTTTCTCAACCACTAACAAGCTGTTCCATCCCTCCCTGAAATCCCAAAGGCTGCTTTAAACAGGGTCTATGAAAGAGAGCACAGTACCTGTGGCTGGTGCTGCTATTATAGTACACCCATGATGATTCCTTTCTGGGAAGGATCAAAGCCACCCTCCCTGCTGTGCTCCCCTTTTCTCCTTGCCAGGGGTTTGGCATTAAATGAGCCCCATTTCAGCACTGCCTACCTCAATTTCCACAGCAACTCCAACAAGATCACCTAACCGAGCGATTAACAGAAACACAAGTAAAAAGTAAAGGATGTAACTTAAACAATTCTTCCAAAATCAGAGAATCAATGCAATATACTCTGTGACCAGACCTCAACTGCCAATTTTTGTTTAAACTAAACAAGAACACCAAACAGGAGTTAAAGCTGTAACAAAGATTAGTTTGCTGGAAAACAGCCACCCATACCTGTGACAGATCTCTTGTACGTCTTTTCCAAATGTCAAGGATTTACTTTTACCAGGAAAACGATAAATACATACTTTGTTTAAACAGTCAATAACTGAAAGCCATTGCCATGAACACAAGGCAATCTTGTTCATTAATAACACAGATGGTTTTAAAGTGGTCCTTATTGCCAGGCTGAGCTTTTAAAGTCCCTTAAAAATGTGTGCCTTGTCACTTATTCAAATACATAAAAATTATAACCCTGATGCAAGATCAATTAAAACTCTGGTCCCTAAAATGAACAGCAAGGTTCCTCTTGGTCACAGTTGGTCCCACTTATCTTACCTGCTGTGGCATGAAGGAGAGAAGGCTGTTACTGGAAACAGGAATAATGGGAAAACAGTCTTAACAGGATGTAAACCTGTGCTTTAGAGATTAATATAAACTTTTATTATTAGCTTTGTGTTTTCTGCCCTTCTTTTTCCTACGCTTACAACACCAGAGGAAACACTCCTGTGCTATATTAGATTAAGGCACTGACTTGGGAATGATCATTCCCAAATTGTGGTTCTAGCTCCAATATATACTGCAGCAGGGCAATTCAATTCACCTTCCTCTGTATTTGGTTACCTTCCTTTGTAATGATAAGATAGGATAAGAGCTCCAGAAAGGGGCTCTCTCTATAAACCTTAATCTTTATAAAACTCCTAAGATGAAACAAAAATAAAATGTACACAAATGTACACAAGTAAAAGTGCATAAATAAGCCACTGCATACTAGAGCTAGTTGGAAAGACTACAACCAATTATCCGCCACAGAATGCTGTTTTATTGAAATCAAAATGCTACACACAAATCATATCCACTTTGCTGGCCCTAAAAAGATTTATTCTGACAGTTTTTGAAGCATGTGTGTGGGTTCACTTGGAATAATAATAATATTTTTTTTAAAAAAAATAAAGTGCTCCATGAAATGGCATTTATTTTCAATAATTTTATTTTTAAACTGCTGATATGCACTACACACTTTAGAAATTTTATGTCAAAAACTTTTAACTGTGGTTGAAAACTCTTTTTTTTTTCCAAACTGGCATTTAAATAACATTCTTTGTGACCTGAATATATCATATATGAAAAACTCAATCCACAGTTTCAAAATTTTCGACTACGTGCTGCTACACCTTTCAATGACTCTCGTAAAGTCAGCATTTCTATATTTAATTAAAATCATTCTTAGTCAGCTTTTATTTTTTTCTGTATTCGAGCAATTATTCATTACATTTAATGCACTGACACATAAAGCACGCATCATACTGAATTAAGCCCTATTCCTCAGGTTTGAGACTTACTGGTTTTGTTTTTATTTTACTTTCTTAAAAGGAGCTTTAATTTTTCATTAAATATGTATGAAAAACAACTACTATAGTAAGTTTTACTGGTTTTTTTTTTCCCATCAGTTAACTTTATCTACAGTTACAGATGGAACTGGGGGTTAAGAAGGACAGACACAGCAGGCCTAAGAAGTCCTTAGCAGCTTTATAAGAGTTACTACCTCAGACTTCTGCAACCCATTATATATTTTTACTGAAATAAGCATGATTACTGCACCCTGAAGCACGCTTTAAATGTCATAATATATTGGTTTGCATTAGAGTTCATCTACAGGGGATACCTAGTTTAAGTAAAAGTATTAAAAGAAACTTTTTTTCCTGTCATTTAGGAATGGTTTTTATGCTCTGACTTTTGAGGCAGGTTAGAAATTCAGGTATTTATGTAGAAAGCATTCAAATATCCTACCAAGTCCCTGAGCCCCTATGGGATTTAGGTTTTCACAAACATCCTTAAATGCCCAACCTCTGATTCCATACTGGCCTTAGTGGTCCAACAATATTAAAGCAACACCAAGCTCAACTCCTCGCAGAACTTCAAACTATCCACCAAACTGAGCCCTCCTCTACCCTACAAGCGTGTACATGTTTCCTTTAATTAACAAAAACAGGAGAGGGAGAAGAGAGGTGGTAAGGTGATACTGCAGGCACTGCCCCTCCAGCAACAGCTCCCTGAGCTTGAGAGGAATTGCTTGAGAATCCATCAGGGTCCCTCAGGCAAGTGTGGGTACCAAGGTTCCCACTTCTCCCATAGGCAAGCTCTCCACGTTTCTACCAAATGTTTGCCTGCTCCTCACCACAGAAGACTCCCTCTCGAAATTCCAACAGCTGCTGCTTCCATTATGGTGTAGAAAGGAAAGGTTTTAGTTTTGGGTTTTTTTTGGCTTTAATTTTAGCTTCAGAGTTTAGAGAATACAAAAAGCTGCAAACATTACTTATAACAAAAAGAGCTACCTATCTATTCCCAACAACCAATCTGCTGCCTGCATGCTTATTACAAACACATCAGTATTCTAATCCTTTTCACTGAAAATCTGAATTGGAGCTGATTTGAATTAAATTTGTGGAATCACCTATATAACCCCATCTGCCTCTAGTTTAAGATTATATTTATTCTAAAAAAAAAAAATTAAACTATACAAAAATGAATTTTAAAGACTAAAGATTTTAATCTTAAACAACAGTTTCTTTAGAGACAGAAGCCATTCCAACTATTTGAATCAAGTACACAAGGCTTTATTTTCTACTTATTCAAGATCAGTGATACAGGGGATCAACATGCTCTCCAGGACAGAAACACTGTGTGGCACAGTTGATAAAAAAAATATTTGCAGTCAGATGTGTTTGGATAGTGATTCAAAAGACCTCTGACATAAATTTGCCTTCTTGTGACTTACACAGATGCTGCACATCAGGTAACCAACAATCATCAACCACATCCATGACTTCAGTTCCTTGCAGATGAAGTCAAAATGCAGCTCAGATCAACTCCAGTAACCCCTTAAGGCCAAGTATTTAAGCCAATGTTTGGGTCCTACAAAAAAAGTCTAGCAAGACCTATTTTTAAAATACCGAATTGTGTGTTTAATTAACATTGTTATTCTGTCATCTTTTCAATCAGATCAGAAGACCAAGAGGAAAATAAAGTTCCTCACTCTAGGCAGGATGGATGACTGGCTTGAAAGGTTTAGGGAGAACAAATCACAAACCCTAATGAATTAATCCACATCCTTCAAAGTAGTTTTAAAGTCAATATTAAATACAAGCCATGTCTTAAACAGAAAAACCTAGAAGTTGTTGATACACTCTGGAGTCTTTCTTTTAAGCAACTTCTTGATTTTGTTTGGAAACAAGAACATGCATATACATCAAGAAGCTAGGAAGATTTACAGAAGCCCCAATAGTTACCATGCACAAACTGAGGTGAAAAGAACTATTTCCCTTTCCTTTAACAAGGCTAAATTAAGATCAAGATTAGAATTCTGATTTATCAACAATAGGAAAATATAGGATGTTCAGCTCATACCACAAAACATTTGGATATTTTAAATCAACTTGACTTCCTTTGTGACAGTCTGACAATATGGCAAAGCTCCTAGCTCTCCTGTAAGAGAAGTATTCTCAATTTTACATAGCTGGTACCTGTGCAATTCACACCATTGGAGCTGTACCTCAGCCTTTACATCCACATTGTTCATGACAGCAACTGCATTTGTAGCTTGGTGACTTACAAACACTTACAGCACTGCACTCCTACTAGGTGCTGCCAGAGACAAATGCCATGACGGACCCTTGGGAAGGAAAGCGCAATGCTGCTGTCAAACCAACACACACAAGGCCAGGAAGCGAAGGAAGGAGAGAAAGGCTCCGTGCATGCTGCTGATGACCCAGCCTCCAAACAGCCTCACCACAGCAGCACAGTGGGGACCAGCTGTACAAAACATCAGGTCCAAGAAAAAAACCAAACCAAGTGACCTTACGTGGAACTCTTCTGAACGCTTCAGCACCCCTGCTACAGCATGCACATCTACCTTCACAGTAAAGCTGAAGTTTTTTAATACTTTATCTGCTTGACTTTTCATCCCCCCCCGACCCCTTCTAAAGCTTCTGGTCTTCTCTTCCACCATTTGTGCATACCATTTGTAGCTACGAAGGTTTAACTGATACAGTCTTAAGTCACAGTATATTTACTGGTTTATTTTTCTCTCTGGTGCAATGGCCTCGTGTCATTTTTGGTTTGTTTGGTTTTAAGTTTATTTTTATATAAAACATCTTTACTTACACAACCAAATGTCACCAGGAAACAGAGGAAGGACTAAGGAGGCTCCTGATGTGCTCTGCAGAATTACACTTCAACTGCTTTCAGCCTTCGAGGATACGGATTTCAGTTCAGCTACGAGCACCTAACTTACACTCATATGAAAATACTTTTTTTTTTGTTCAGCTGCTTCAACTTTGACTATCAAAAAATCACGTTTCATTGTCAAGTATATAAGCAACACCCATGTTCCATCATGTTCAAGGAAATTATTCCAACTAGGGGATGTAGTAGTTTATTAAACAAATCACTTTCCAGGATATGTGTACTAATGTTTCTTTTTTTAGGTACATTATGTTCTTTTCTGCTCAGTTTTGTGAGAAGCATAACTGTTCCACAAATGCAATCTCCCTGTCCAAAGTGAAAATAATGCTTATGCCAGTAGCGGGTCTCTCTGCCCCACGCTTCACACTGCTCATGCCCGGCAAACTGTGTCCATTTTGGAGATTCCTCTGGAGACTTTTTCATTTGCCTTTTTTCAGTTTGTTTCTTTAGGTTAGATGCTATGCATGTTTTGCATTGTAAATTAAATAATGTCATTATGTCAGAATTTATTCTCGTTGTCAAAAACCTAAAATATTCTTACAGTATTTTTTCCCCCAAAATGGAAACTTGTATTTTCATTTTTTACAGCATGGTTCTCAGATAGAAATAAAATTAAGCAGGTCTTTAAGCTTCTCTGTGAAGCTAATAGTATAAATATTTTGAGTGCTACATTGCTCATATTTCTGTAATAAACTGGCATCTGATTTATTTTTCTTTTCCTAATTGCACACTAGCAAATAGTTACTTTCTTAACAAAACACAAATAAGCACAACCTTCTAGCACATTTTCCCTTTCAGTAATTCTATTTGTCTGTACACAGCAGCACACGGCAGAAAGCACTAAGGGACAGAGAAATAAAAATGAAGTTTAAATAAAACTACTTTTATTTTACTAAACCTCATTACTAATCTGTTTTATAAATAGAATCTTCCATTTTTCCAGTATGCTACTATTACCATGAAACTTTTAATACAGCAAGCAGCACAAAGAGGTAGACATGCTCCAAAATTTCCCGTAAGAAAATGTGTAATGCACGGTGTCAGGGGCACTGCTTATGCTAGGACAGTTTTCCACACAAACACCCCCTTTCCTCACTATCCTGCTCACGGCGCCAACCAGGCAGGTATGAACACATCTTTTAGATCTCTGCCTCCAGTGGTAATGGAGAAGCTAAAAGAGGAATGGAGCACACAGCTGGCTGAGCCATGGACTCCTGAAGATGCTCACAACTGCTAGCATAGATTTATTGTTTCCCACACTTTTCTGTGCCATTTCTATGTGACTGTACAGCCACAGGACAATGGCAGGTCCCACACTGAAGCCCCCGAGTTCCTCATCTCTGAAGCAAAACTCTGCCCTACTAAGGAAGTCAGATGTTAACAGATACCACTGAATATGTATTTGGCACATTCATGCCAGAAGTTTTATGAGATCAAAGCATGCTAAACAGCTGAGATTTGATGCCTGTTTCAAACACTCACTCCAGTGATTGAGTATAGCACCAGTTAAATATATACAAAGTGCTTGTTACACCAACATTAAAAATGAGACCAGAAGTTTTGGTCAACAGGGACTGTGAGCTGCCCAGAACAACCAACCTCAGTTCACAGAGGAGAGACAAGAATACCCAGTCTCCTGGCTCCCAACCCATCCCACCTTACATTTACTTCAAGCTTTTGTCCTAAGAAGGAAGGAGTGCATTGCCCTTTTTTTCCTTTTTAAAAGGCATTATGTCAACAGAGATAAATGACAGCGTAACAATCAGGTCAAAAATGTTTTGTTCCTTAATTTCTTTGTGTTTTTTTTCAAACTGTCTACAGAATAAATAAGAAAGAAATGACTGACAGCCAACAGCAGCAGTGAAAAAAAAAAAAAAAAAAAAAAAAAAAAAAAGGGTTGATAAAAGCTGAACCACAGACGTAAAGATTTTGAAGCCACAAATACTCAGAAGACTTACTGAGACAGAGCCCAGTTATCTATACTTGACTAAGAACTTGATTGGGGAAAAAAATGTTTGGGAGGTTGGACCATCCTGCCATTCAAAGCACCCTCACAGAACTCAAGTGGAAGCTTTTAGTTTGAGAGCTGTTTTTCCTTGCAACAACAAAGCGTCCTTGGGCGATAATTCTGTGATTTTGATGTTTTACCTTTACTACCACACAAATCCCTGATAATACAGTGATTTTTCTCAGCATTTCACCTTACAAAAAGAACCAAAATTTATGGTACAGACAGTCAGAAATTCAAACATCGAGATAAAAAGCACGTAAGACCTAAGAAAGGGATCAGTAGGTAATGATTCAACCGTTGAACAGAAAATAACACAAAAATAACTTCTTTGTTCACACGTGTACTGACCTCAGGAAATGCACTGCACGCAAGGTAGAAGAGAAAAAAAAAAAAAAAGAATGATAAATTTCCAAATCCTATGGAACACTGCTTTCAATAAATACACAACACCATTTCCTGGATGAGAAACAAAACTCCCCCAGAGACTAAATAGCATAGTGATTAATAGCATAACAGTCGAGCAAGCCATAAGGAACACACCAGCACACAGGCCTTGCATTCCCTTTATCTTCCTTCCTTCCACAAGGTGAGAGTATAAAAAGAAGAGTACTAATAATACTACTGCATGATCTGTGCTATAAGTTGACAGCCTGAATACTCTTTCCTTTATTTTAGTAGTATTTCTAGCATACTAACATATCCAAAACAGCTGCTGAATTACATTACCTGAATTAATTTTGTATTCCTTACTTTTCTTTTAAATTACTTGAATGATACAATGGAGAAAGAACTGTCAGGTAGCTCCTTTTTAACATTTTTCAATTGCTCAGAGGCCACCCATCTATTCAGAGATACTGAATGGGAACCGATGAAAGTAAACAGGTTTTCTTCTTCAAGAACTCCTCAAGAACTCTGCCTCAAGAACTGTCTTTCATCAGACAAATTGTAAAGAAGTGCCCCTAGCAGCATTTGGTGTAGTGGGGGAAAAACAGCATCATTTGTGGGTGTAGACCAAAAGAGATCTCTCTCCACTCTGCTGCTCCCTTTTCGGCTTGCTGTGATAAGAAGGAACAGCAGTGGTTTGGGAAGTTTTAACCAAGAAAAACAAAAAAAGCCCCGAAACAACTACCACTAATAACTAACCTTAGTGAAAGATTTTTTAGGTAAGTAGTTTACTGCTGATGTAATCTCAGGAGCAACCGAAAAATCAGCGTTTTTAATTAACCCTCATTAAACTTTTAAAATATTTTTCTGGTCTTTAAGCACAGGGGAATTTTTTTACTTAATCTTCTTTAAGTGAATAGAAATTATTAACACACTAATTAATCATTGTTTCATGAAAGGAAGCTGTAATTTAAACATCTTCTGGTTATTAGTGCAAGATCAAAGAATCATTCCCTTATTGTTTCCTCCAAAACAACTAGCACACCAAGGCTAATGTGTCATTATCTTCAATTCTTCTGAGCCATGACAATAAAAATTGAGACTAGGATATTCATTAGGTATTTCTTTGTTTTACCATTAGTTGAGAAACTAAACGTTATGAAGAGCTATCTCCCTACACAATTTGTTAAAGCAGGAGCAAGGAAACACACAGATTTGGGATAATGAATTTTATTAGCTTTGCTTTTTATCAAAACAAAAGTTTCCCTGCTTTAAATAAAGCTTTCCAGATTTCTGCTCCAACAGCTGAAGCTAGAGCTTCAGCACAAAACCAAAATACACTGCTAAGTAAACTCTGAAAGCTTTATTTCCACAAGAATATATTACTTCAAAGAAATACTAAGCAGTCCTTTTTAACTAACAGTGCTCACAGACTTAAATATATTAAATGCCCATAATATCACAATACAGCAAATATGCAAGGCAAAAAATGCCAATTTTTACCCTTTTTTAAACTTTTTGAAAAAAAATTGCTCAATGAAGATTTTTTTTTTTTGTATCCTTTTCAAGATACAAAACCAAGGCAAAAGAAAGAATCAGACTTAAACTGAATACAAGTTTTCTAGAAGAGTGTCTCTTCCCACTTTACTTTGAGATAATAATAATAGCTGTTCTAGAAGATTAACTAAATCCTGGGTCATGAGGACATAACCAGAAAATAAGTTGTCTGTGAGCAGACAGATACTGGAGCCACTAAGACAATGTGTCCAGTAGGGATGCTAGCCAATGCAACTGAACCATATTTTAACCAAAACTACCACATTAGCAAGGCAATCATACCATTCCTGTATAGACAAATTAATCATAGAATAATTTGGGCTGGAATGATCATATTTTGGACTTTAAGGGTCATATATTCCAGCCCTCTGCAATGGACAGGTACAATTTCAACAAGACTGAATACCAGGTTGCTCAGATCCCATCTCACCTGACCGTATTTCCAGGGATGTGGTATCTTAACTCTCCAAGAAACCTGTTCCACTGTTTCACTACCCTCACTGTAAAAAACATCCTTCTTAAATCCAGTCTGAATCTAACCTCTGAGAACCATTACCCCTTCTACTGTAAAACAGCAGCCAACAGCCAAGAACAGTTCTTTGAGATGCAACAGCATTTAACCAAATTCAAGGTCAGAAGATATTGTATCTAAACACAAAGATTTTTTTTTCTTTTTTCTGATCTCCTGTATGTTGCAAATCTCACTTCAGTCATTTAATCTACTGTATTTAGGTCGGCTAGTGCTAGCTT